TCCCACAGCAAAACGAGATTTTATTCTGAATGGCAAGCGTAGATTGCCGTTTTTGCCACGGCTTCGATGTTTAAATTGTTTCTTCACAATAAACAAGTACTCGTTCAATATCGAATTTTTGAATTTGTTGCTTCCTGTTGTGAAATTGCTACCAAGAGCCGTAAGTTAAATAAATCCAATGGTAATATTAAAATTTGGTTATTTATTATATTATATTTATTACATTTGAACGAAATCTGTTAGGAACAGCACACTGGCGCTCACTGACATCATAGTCACTTAAAAGTTTAAAATGTAGTGGGTGAAAGAAAAACTATTTTTTTTATACATATTGCAAAATAGCAAGATCTCTCTGGGTTTATTTATTTCCCCTAATGTGCTCAAAACGAAGGAGAGTTGGCCGAATATCATGGTATCAAGTCAGCTAAACACAGTGTTCCCACTTGAAAGAACTCAATAGGATAACTAGAATTGTCAGATTATTTTCAGCGTAAGATCACGTGCAATGGATTTGCAGTCAAGAAGAATCAGTCCATTAAATCAAATTCGTGACTAAAGTTAGTTTTGAAATGTATACATTGTGAAAGCAAGTAGATGGGGAACCAAAATATCCTACCTTTATCTAAATATATTACCTTAATCAACAGGCATATCTGTTAAAAAAAATATAATTTAACAACGAACTGTCTTGGCAGTTGATCCTAAAATTTGGACCGAAAAGGAAAACCACTCGCATAAACAGGTTGTTCCGTAAAAGTTTTGATCAGCAACAATCTCGCGTTGCTATCATACTTTGTTTTGTTCATTATTTTGGGCAGGATTTATATTTAATAAAACGGATTATAAGCAAGAATGCGCAAGTAACAATACGAAATTCTTTGCGTGAAAGTCAACCGCCGCAAAACACCTGGCTCGGATCAAACGAAATCTAATGAATAGAAATTGTAATTATAAAGTTTGGTCAATTAAGTGTCTTTGAAATCGGTTGCCCTAATCGGTCATTGTGCGATAGAACGTATTATTAACGCATAATGGTGTCTATCAGCCGACACGTGCAACCATTGAAATCGAATTTTCGGAGCAACGGAAGTTTCTGGGTTCAATAAGTTCCATAAGATGTTTTTCTTCGGCAGCGGACCAAACAGTTCCAAATTTTTATCCAACAAAGCAAAATAATTTACAAATTTCAAATATAAGACAAACGCAATAATCCCGAAATGCAAATAGGACTTTTGTTCGGTGCGGTAAACGGCAATAAACGAGTGAGTTAAAAAGTTTACCGAACGTGTTGTATAGTATACTTTTTCTACAACCGTTAGTTTTTGGTTACATTTTCGCAAAACAACAAGAATACATTCACTAACATGACCGTCAGAATTGACAAACATCAAAATTCAAAGCGTGGGAAATATCTCCGAAAATATTGCTCCCAAACCAGTGCGGTAAAATCCCGGAAATGTCCGAAAAGTGACACTTCCCGCACGCTACATCGGTGTGTAATTAGGTATTTTACAGACGGGAGTAGAAAAAATTATTTTCGAACATGTTTCCTCTTTTGTGTGGCACTTTCCCAAACTAAAACTTAAATTGACTGGTCAAAAATTTTATCTTATTATCTATATAAACTAATTATGTATTATATAAAATAATATAATAATAATAATAATAGTAATAATAATAATAATAAATAATCGTTTATTGACCACTTATAAATACAAAAACGTATTTTTGAAGTCAGGAAGAGCACAAACAAGATAAATATATTACATATAAATAGGTAAACCAATGTAACCAGAAAGTAAAACTTTGTACACTCTAAGAATAATTAATTTATAAAATAACTGTGCTTGGTTATAACAAATTCGTTTATAGAATAGAAACAATGCTCTTCAAAAAACTTTTTTGATAATTGTTTGTATTTTTTAATGGAAAGTCGTTAACATCAATATTTTTGGACCGAAAAAGAGTGTTGACCCTCGTCGACGTTGCAATTCCCGCACCTAACAACTTGCAGAAGAAAGAACGTGAAAAAAGAGAAAAATACATACCGTTAGCGGATGACATAAAACAGACATGGCGTGTCGATAGGGTTTACATTGTTCCTATAGTGATCGGTGCAATGGGAGAAATACCAAAGTCCCTCAGAACCAACCTGACAACACTTACCGTAAAACCAGGCGCCTACTTTGAAATGCAGAAGTCTGTGGTACTAACTAGCTGCAATATAATTAGAAGAGTTCTTAATCAACCTCAACTTCAATAGCGCACATTTCATGTTTTGCTACTCACCTAGCCGACATGAGAGGACTCCATCTTCCGATGAAAAAAAAAAAAAGATAATCATAATATAAAAGAATAACAATAATTTCAGTGTAGGCAAAATTAAGACACAACCATTTTTAAACTTTGGCAAGGTTACACTAAACAAATCAATTCCTCCAGGCTGTTGAATAGCCTCTACAAATATGAGATAGGGGACAAAAATACCAATAGTTTGTATGATGATAGTCAATACTAAAAAGATGTGTTTGTATAGCGTTTCTTGCAGGTGCATTAAAGTTAATAGCAGATAGAAGTGCAGAAAAATAAACATGATTATTCAATAGTTTAAATCAAAGACCAAAACATTTTTAACGACTTCCAAGGTTCGAATATTATATATAATATTATAATTAATTTCGTCTTCTGTTCTCTTGTCAATGAGACTATGTAAGTTCTGCTCCTCACCACAGAAATCCTTCAAAATTCACAGCCAACACCTAGTAACTTTCTAGTCCTATTACATACAATATCAATGTGCCAAGTGAATGTTACAGATCTTTATGAGAATGAACTCTAAGTATTAAACAGTTAAACAGTTAAACAAATAAAATCTGCACCCCCGAAAGTACAGTACATCTGTGGAAACGACAATTTTTTCGTTTTACATTTTTACATTTTGCATTCTGCCTTTTCATCCATTACAGTAGAGTTAGGCTTCCTTAGTAAAATTGATATGTTCAAATTATCATACTCTTTACTACAATCCGTGCTAATTGAGTCAACTTGAGAGCCACTCCCAACAACGGTTAGAATATTATGTTGATAGATCATAAAATTAGTAGGGTCGATTTTCCCTTGACAGAGGAGCCTTTTTGAGCCTGCGTAAGTTGGTGAAATCTTACCAGTAACAATTGTTTCAAACATTTTTGGAATCACAGAAACTATGCTGAAATGCCACGAAGTTATTGACGAAGCTTGTTTGAGTATAAAACTTAGTCGTGATTGATTGACATTTTATCTCTTTGTTATGCTTAAGATGCAAAAGGTTCAGTTCATAAAAGTCACTTACCACGATTTTCATATATACATAACCAACGTACTTAAATTCGACATGTGTTTTCATAATTTTTGCTTTAAACATGACCAATAACAAGTACAAGTAATTGATCTTGGTGGGGTTCGAGAGACATTTTGAACAAAACTTGAACAAGTAAACAGATAATATCAATTATTTAAACACAGTCGATATGTTAGCAAACACAAATCATATTGGCGTACTACTTGTACACAAGTACTTGAATGAGTTATTAAAGTTACCTTGGAAAAGGAGGTCGACCATAATATTCGCTTAGATATTTGCGCGGTAGCGGTCAATATTGATAACCTTAAGATTAGCATCTCGAAAATATATTTCTTTAAAGTACGTACCCATCGCAATTTCCAACCGCAAGAAATTTATTCGCTGGTTTCCTGCGTTAAAGGTTTCTATAGCGATAAATATCCTCACGGGCTGAAGTGAAGTTTGTTTAGATACAAATTTACTTTATTTTGTTTTAATTTTCAAAGCCTACGGCTTAGCTTGACCAAGATGTTGATTTTCCAAACGGGATGTTAGCTATAGAAAAATCAGTGTGGAAAAACATTGGGATGCTTATTTAATCTGTGCGTGCGCGCGTCACTTCAAACATCCCGTCTAAAATTTCATTGCAATACTACTTCGGGATACCCCAACATTTAAAAAAAAAGAAAAAATACATGGCAACGTGATTAATTGAGTATTAGAAAGTGTTCAACAGATTCTGGAATAAGAGAATAAAATAAAAATAAATAAACATAATAAAAGAATAGGTGTGGTGTTTGTTTTACAAATTACAAAATACATTAACTTTTATATATTTTTAGATGATGCCTTCAAGCTCGAAAGTTGAAGACACCAACCTGCTTTCCGTAATTTTGATTTAAAACCAATTAAATGAGAGTTGTTGTTAATACTCTGCTTCTGTTTATGACGTCAATATTAAAACATCCACCAAAACTACAAAATTACCAATAGAGCAAAGTTTACTTCGATTATTCTTGAATCCTCTCTCCTTGAATCTTTTATTAGATAATGCTAAAGCAAGATAGACTAATTAATCGAAGATTAAAAATGGGCATAATTATTTTTCTAAGCCGTCATTATTTGGAAAATAAAATATTCTTTGATAGCACTTCACCTTAATTCTGATTTAAACAATTAAATTTGGTCTAGTTTTATTCGGTGACATTTCTGACCGCTATATTATTGGCTAACCTCCGCCACTTACAGATACAGATAATAATAACCTCTACTTCTCTGATGCTGTAAAAATTGATGCTCCGCAGGTGGAATTGATATTTACTGACGTAAAAATGCTTCATTCAAACTTATTATTCAGAGATAAAAACATATGGGAATTTGTTTACACCTTAGGCTAACATGAGGTTGTTGATGTTGCTGAGTCGGCTTCCTCGTCAAGAGTAACATAGTAAATGTCTTTTCAAATTTGAAAATAGGACACAAGGAAGTTTCTATTTCGAGTTGAAGACTTAAATTGATGTACCCAGTTTGCTTGTAATTATTTTTAAAGAATCGTCGTAGGAATGTGAATCGACCTTAGGCATAACCTATACTTTTTTACGTGTTTCTAAAGAAACTCATTTGTTTTTGAAATTCTATTAATTTACATGCGATCTACAATCTAAGTTATTTGTTCCAGAGGGCAAGAGAGCGGCATGTTCAAACGAAGGAGAACCAGTGACTTTGGGCAGAATTATCGATAGACAAAAATGTTTTTCCTGCATATGTAAGGTAATAAACTTAAGCAGTAAACATTAAATTTGCATGTAAAGTCGAAGGCCTTTTGCTGCCGTCAGCTATTATCGAGTGTTATCGTGTCACATTTTTTTTGACTGCCAGGTGAGCTTTGAGCATGGAGAATATTGACTATGCGAAAAGTTCTTAAAATGCCGGAACTGATTTTAAATTTTTTGTAGGAGCTTTCGTTTTTCTTCTGAAAGTGAAGTCAATAATAATAATCGGTCTTCCTCTGAAAAAAACATTTACATTTTGTGACATTAACAGCGAACATGCGACATAAAAGTTTCACGTTTTTGTTTAATCAGGTACTAACGACGCTCCTTATTATTACAAATAACACTGCTAACTTTAAATGATATCCGCCAAAGAATGTTCGAAATATAAAGAAAAGGAAGCTTTATCACACTGTACTTTACTTAATAATAATTAATATGTATATACGTCATTTATTTAAACTAGCCGTTTGCGAGATATAATTTTGCTTAAATTTGACGCACTAAGATTACTTCAGCATATTTAGAATACTTGAAACTATTGAAAATTGTTATACGGACGTTTTTCTATAAACGAGGTTATTTAATGATATTTGAAAGAATTCTTGCCTTATACATATATCAAAAACGAAAAAATTAAGCTATGGGACCTTACACAAAAACGTAATAAAATAATGAACTGAGGTGGCTTCTACTTGATGAAAATCCATTTATCAAAATAAATAAGAACTAAAACTTCCGATTTTCACGAAATTATATATTTTTACATGATAATTGTTTCGACAACACCGTGTCTTTATCAAAGGTCATCATGTCACATTTGATAAAGACACGGTGTTGTCGAAACAATTGTCATGTAAAAATATATATTTTCGTGAAAATCTGAACTTTTAGTTCTTATTTATTTTAATAAAATACACCCAGCACAATGAAAACAATATAAACAAATATTTGAGGTACTTTCCAGGAATGCTTTCAAGTATACTTTCTTGATCACTTCAATAAGAAATAAATAAATACGAAAAATACGTCGGGAGATAAAATAGTCAATAGATGCCCATTCCACCATATCAAAAATATGATTGCCAGATGACGACCTCGTCGAGTTCAGCACAAACCTAAATAGAATCAGAGAGGGGAATTGAAAAATGATTGAATTGTTCTAAAATAATTGTGAATTGCGCACAGGTTTCTACAGCTGGAGCTGTTTCTTGCCTCAAACTTTCAGCGTTTTCTATTTGGTTCTCGTAGCTTCCCCTATATCGATTTTCCTTAGGAGATCTACATTTTCTCTGTGGTTAGAAAGGTCCCACTCCATGCTTTTACGTTTTCTCAAGGCAGTTCTCGATAGTAGTAGTAGTAATATTTCTATGATCTCTCTTGCTTAAATTTATTGACGTTTGAAATAATTTCTCCACATTCGTGGTGCTGTATTCTTTGTGATTTTGCTACAGGTTTAATGGATTATTTTATCATTGTTTCAGGTACCAATAAATGTTGTTTTAATGGTTAGTTTGGTCGATATCTCTTTAGTACTTTATTTTAATATAAAACATTCCATAAGTCTGTAAGAAAAGCTTCATCAAATTGTAGTGTGAGCCGCAAAGAGACCATCACCTTCTGTCTTGCTGTGATTAAATAACAGAATCAGGGAGTGTCCGTTTGTGTGAAAATATTATGGCTAAGCATGATTAAGTTATGCAATATTTTCAGAATATTTCCTTCTTATCTGCAGCACTTTCTAGAACGAGGATATCATGCATTCATCAAACGTTTAAGCAAAATGTCAAAAGCCGGATTATATATATATTTTTTTACTCCATACTTTAAAATATCCAAGTATACACGGATCAAGCATGCGAAAAGGTTCACATTTAGGTTCGATACTAACCATTTCCACAACTTTAGTTCCGAGTTTGGGAGATGATATTTTGACGTATCAATTCTGGCGCTTACAATTCACCCATTGTATTCGTACTCTTTTGCGAAAAGCTATCCAAAAACTAATGGTCGTTGTTTATTAAGCACTAACTCCGCTCGCGCCAAATAAATCACATTTGTTCTACTATAATATCTAGTAATTTTTCGAATATTTTGCTAGTAGGCAGTTTTGCAACTAGTGCTTAAATACCAGATTTTAAAAGCTCGAGAATTACGTTAAAACTTTCTAGAAAAAAATATGCTTTAAATGACAGCAAATTATTTATAACGAGCTCGGTATATCGGTTGGTATATTGATCGAATTATACCCAGGAACTATTTTGAGCTAGTTGGTTCGGAAATTTTCCTCATTCCGCAGACCCATAAAGTTAATTTAATGTTTGTAGTAATAAAATACATAATAGTAAATTATGGCTCTAATTATTATTATCGCATGTAATTACACCGTTCGGCTAAACCATTCTATTAATACCCACTTCATGGGTGATAATATTCTTAATTGGTTTTTATTGGCGAAATATGTATATTTAATGACAGCGCAACTATTTTTGATTTTGAATAGATCGACATTATCGACGAACATATAGGTAGTATATGGGTGTATAATTGTTGTTTACTGTCGCCAAAGAAAATGCTGCAGGTTGTTTTATTGCATATTTTTCTTTAGAATCTGTAACAAATACTCATTTAAATTCCTCAGTGTAGGCACGCACCAAAGTATGGCTTTGAAATTTATTTCTTATTGCATATCATACGTCTTAACTGCGCAATATTAACAATAAGATATCATGTGTGGTATAAATTGAATTTTTCAATAATTACAAGATATGTTGAAATTGAGCAAAGGTATAAGGTAAAAAGTATTTAAAATAATTAAATAGATTGATTCTCCCATTCTTTGACTTTGTATTTGTGTGTATGTGATTCATGGCGATTTACTATATTTATGGAACTAATGTCGTTTGAGAAAAAAGTGTTATTAAGGTCATCGACCAAAAAAAATTCCTCGAAACATTTTTTAAATTCTTGTCTTCACTGCTCTTAGGCTCAATTGGTATGGTTCTATAAACTAGTATATTAAGCAAAATTTTGCTAATGCTTAATAAACGAGCGAAGAAGTGAAGAAATTTATCAAAGTTTTGCATACCATATTTTTTCTACTAGAGCGAATATATTAACACACGTGTGAAGCGACCGCCATAATTGGTAAAAATTAAAGTGGTCATTTCTGCGGGGACTCTTAGAGCACGGACCATTTTTTTATTTAACACTTTTCCCTGAAGGGCGCAAAATAACTGCGGAAGCAGAAGTTTTTTTCGGTTTGACAAAATTTGGCAAACTGTGTCTGGTTTAGCAAAGTAAAGGCTAATTTTAAAATAAAATAAACAGCCATGTGAAACTGATTTTTTGGATTTTACCACAAAATTCTAGATAAAATGATATATTTATTTCGTCAATTTCGAACATTCGACTAAATTTGGAATACAAAATATTAAAACTACTGTCGATATCTTCATTCGTTTCCAACTTATTGCCACAAGAGTATTTATAGGCGAATTTATTGAGGAAACAATTTAAATCCATGGCCTGCATGCCATAGAGAAATAAAAACGCATTATTATGACATAATACTTATATATACTCAGTTACATATATATATATATATATATATATATATATATATATATATATATATATATATATATATATATATATATATATATATATATATATATATATATATATATATATATATATATATATATATATATATATATATATATATATATATATATATATATATATATATATATATATATATAAATATACACTTCAAATAAAATGCCCTCTAGCCAACTTTCTCTTACGAAACTCTCGAATGACAATGATTTTTCACAAATGGTAATTTTTGACAGTGGCCCAGATTTGATAGAAAATATGTTGTATTGAGCGATTATACGACTACATTCAATACGTGTTTTTGCCATAAACATATAAGTTGTTTAGCCTATTTTACTGCTTCAATATTATTCTAAAATCTTTTCAATAATTTCAAATTTCGCCTAAAGTCCACCATTATTTGCCGCCTTTCAATAAAAGTTAGTAAGACAAAAAACACAAAGACAACGTAATCTTGGCATATATCGTGGCTCTACAACGGTAAAAATTGATGCGTCTGATGATATTTTCGTACAGAAGGGACTGATTTCACGCGCATGCTTGAAGAAAATCTTACACTTATTGACGATCTGTCAGCGGCCATGTTGCTTGTTTCTTCTTCTTCTTTCTACTGCATATAGACATGATTGTCTGTTTTTCTTCCCATCTTTGCCATCATCCAGTCATTTGGGAGGTTTTTGCTACTTTTTTACCTATGTCTTCCAAGGCCCCTTCGTCCATACGATCAATGTGTTCATTGCATTTTATCTTTCGATCCAACACCCAGTCATTGAAATTATGTACCCCGCACACTCGCCTAATATCTTCACTTCTTTCCCTATGCATGAGTTTTTTTTCCCGTTATTCTGCGAACTATTTTCATTTCCGTGGTTTCTACTATTCTTTTTGTTTTCGCGGTCTCAGGGTTTTTGCTGCATAGGTGAGTATAGCTCTAATAGCAGTTTTATATATCCGGGCTTTTGCTTCAGTTCGGATGTGTTTATTTCGTCAGATGGTACTTTTCAGATATGCTGTTGCCCTAGACGCTCTTGTAGTTTGGTTCCTTACTTCTGTCTCAGCGTCTCCGTATCCAGCGATATATATATATATATATATATATATATATATATATATATATATATATATATATATATATATATATATATATATATATATATATATATATATATATATATAAGCGGTTTGGCTTGACCTTCACGCGTCTCGATCGCTATAAACATTTTTCTTTTAGTTTTTTGGGACATTAAGTCATTCCATAACACTGGTGTAATTGACGTATAACAATTTTTCCTTTATTAATTTTGTTAAGTACGCCCACTTCGTCTCTTCCGTCCGATGTTATAGTCGCTCCTACGTACTTATACTGGTGTGAGTGTA